GCAAAAATTATATAGTAACCTGGGTTATAATAAATAATTTGCTCCGGGTTAGTACAAAAAATTAGAAATCTTAACCCACTCCGTGACGGAGTGATACATAACCCGGGTTGATGCCAGAACATTATGCTCCGGTTAACAACCCTAAATACTGTTGTATGGTGATGATTACTAAGTTTATGATGACACATAAATTCTGCCAACCATCTTTTACCTATTTACATTCAGAAATATTTGGATATATTGTAATATATTGTAATTTTAATGCAAAAGATTTTGCTTTCTCACAAATCATATAATGTGTAACAACTTTTTGCTGAGTTTGCAAGGATTTAACCCATGTAAAAAGTTCATTTTCTAATATTGGATATTGGGATCTTGAACCTACATTGAGTCATTTAATATGTGGTCTTGCTAATAACAACTGTTCTTTTTTCTGAATCCAATCCCTTAATTGTTTCAATTCAATATCAAATTTTTCAGCCGTATTTCATTTAGAAGCTTGAGGATTTTTTTCAAAGTAGGTAATTATTGCTAATTTTTCACGAACATTCCAGCTTCTTTTTTTCTTTTTTGTAATGGATGCGCGTTTCAAGAGTGTTGTACTCACCATTCACTATACCCCCCAAATTAAAATACCCACTTCCTTACCCGGGTGGGTGTAACATACCCCGGGTATTGTATGTGGCTATGCTTTTTAACACGAAAATTTTTTATATCAATCTATGCTTGTGTAACAAATATTATTTTATTTGAAAAAAATGTGTATCCTAAACGGGGGGTTCCGATCCTCACTTCTTAATTATATAAACGCGTCTTTTTTCCTTTATTATGTTTCTTTCTTGAAATAATTTATTATTATATTTTCCTTTTCCGCTTTTTATTCTTTTTGCTCTAAGTTTTATGACTTTTAAATAATAATATTATAATTTCTCTTTTCTTTTAGTTATAACTTTGTTAACTATATTTCATTGATCTCATAAATAAATAACTGTAGAAAAGTGAGGTATTTATTCTATCTATTTTTGTTTTTTTTTGTTTTTTTATTTTTCTTCCTTTATTACTCTGTTATCTAACTCTTCTCATATCTTTTGCCATATCTATCATCACGTACGCGAGTGCCCCTGGAATGTGTAAAAAACTGGGAGGAATAGTTTCATTATTTTTACAGAAAATATTAAATAAAGTTTATTTAATTTAGGCGAAATTGCAAAAAGCAAGAAGACCTCTCCATACGAGAAGATCTCCACCACCACTGCGTAACATGAGTGCCCGCGTGATGCTTAGGCTCTTGACCATAGCTGTTAGTGCAATGAGGATATGAGTGCCAAAGTGGGGAGTAACAAGGATGCCTTGATGCCGTTTTCATGTAAGAAGTGTAAACAATGACTCAAGTTATTGGGTTGGCTGGCTGCAAAGCTAGTTTGCAGATGGGCTATCCTTGTTTGCGCGCAATATATACTTGTATATACTTGTATATATTGCCTTCATGAGTGCCAAAGTATTTTCTGTTCTGTGCTACTAGTTCGTCTTGATGTCTATTCATTTACCAGTACCAAAGTGTTCGTAGTTTCATCAAAGATGAAAGGAATGCATTCCTGTAGTACCTGAAATCAGTTGAAGGAGGAATCAGTAATGGAAAATTAAATATTGTTAATGACAATGGGATTGGAACTATAAGAAAGATTCCCGGGATTATTTTCAAAAAAAAAGCAAGACAAAAAGTCACTTAAATTATCGAGTAAGTACATGCGGAAAAGGGATTTTACATTTATTTTCTTTGTTTATATGTGTTTAGTTATTTCTAAGTTAAGTAATTTATTGTAATGATAATAATAATAAATAAAGAGCCTTCTATTTGACCAGTTATTTTATCCCACAAAGAAAAGGTTTACAATACAATATTAAAAATATTATCCAATGTGTGTATACAAAAAGTTATTAATTTACTAAAGGTAACAAAAAATAAAAGCTTATTTCACGATTTATGGCGATGAAAATCGTAATGTTCATTTTCGTCCTGTTTTTATGGGAATTTGAAATTTGAGAAATTCGTTCAAAGATAGAAATTGACCAAATTGATCTTTATCTCTCATTTATAAAAGGTCAATAATACTGATTTTTTCGAATCAATACATTTATTTTCACAAAAATAATAATTGTTAAATTATAATTATCGTTATTTTAAATTACAAATAATAAAAATGATTACAATAATATAAATATAAATATAAATATTCGATAAATAAAATCTGCAAGTCTTCAAAAAAATATAATACAGAGTACTTTTTTTAAAAAAATTAATTATTATATTAAAGTAATACTAACGCTTCTATTTTTCCCCAACAATATTCGCAATATCTTGAACTTCTATCTAATCCAGTTTGTGTACAACTAGAACAAAAAATTCCACCACAAGTTTTACAATGAATTTTTCGCTCTAAAAAAAGGTGAATAAAAATGTAAAGCGTCATTTCAAAATGATTTCTAAAGAAATATAAAAATATAATAATAATAATAATAATAATAATTACCCAATACAGCGAATTTTACACCACATTTCAAACAGACATCTGATTGTCCATCTGGCATCCAATGAGTTTCTATTTTAATATCAGGTAAAACCCACGACCAAATTTTACCCGTCGAATCACCACTATAAATAACTTTCTGAACTCTAAAAAAAAAAGTAGATAAAATATTGTTATTAAATATATTAATACACCTTAAATACAAGAGATCAATTAACGATAATAATTTACCCAGAAATATGAATAGAAACTATATCTGCCGTAAATGTAGAACTAAGCCTATTTTCGTGTTTCAATTGATGGCGCAATTCAAGATCCCATTTAACTTTTAAAATAATTCAATCGATTATTTTTTTTATTGTTATTAAAAAAATAATTAAATAAATTATTTTTTTTATTGTTATTAAAAAATAATTAAATAAATTAAATAAATTGCAAATACCTTTCTTTCCTGTGTCATCTATTTTCGTTAATTTATGCCAAATCTAATATACATATATAATATATATATTATAAATATGTAAGTATTATTAAATACTTCAAAAATTATAGATAAATATTTTAACTAAATAAATTAATAGAATAAAATACAAACCTTAATCACACCCTTCTTGTGTCCTGTTAGAATAATATCTTTTTCAAACCATTCATTTTGTCTACCCTGATAAAAGTTATAATTAAAAATTTGCTATATTATAATGATAAAAAAAAAATATAGAAATTTAAAAATATTGAATATAAATTACCTCATAAAAGAGACAACAAAGTACAGGATCTGAACCCTGAGCAGTATTCTTTGTTACAATAAGATCCCCGTTAACGCTCCATATTCGAATTACTGATCCACTGCATGTTGCGATATCACCCTGTAATAATAATAAATAAAAATATAAATATAGTAAATGAATTGTAATTATTATCAAGACTTAAATTAAATAATAAAATATTAAAAAAAAAAAATTTTTTTCTTACTGTAATATCATTTATCGCGACAAACTACATTTATTAATAAGGAAAAAATTTAATAAATTTGTAATAATTCACGAATTTCAATAATGCTAAATAAAATTTAAAATACCTTAACACCAGTTTCATGACCCTGTAATTGTCTTACATATTTCATTCTGTTCAAATCCCATACTATACATGTTGTGTCCTTCAATTTAGAAAATTAAAAAAAAAAAATTTAAAAATTTAAAAGATTTAGTAAAAATAAAATAGAATAAAATATTAAGTTTTTTTCACTTACATCTGAACCACTGACTATGATGCTATATGATCTTGATACAGCTACACAATTAATTTTAGAAGAGTGTCCTCGCAGGCATTCCATAAAACGAAATTCCGGAGATTTTGTTTTCCATTTTAATCGCCAAATGCAAATGACCTGAAATAAAATTACATTTTCAATATATTTATTATACATTTTATTTTGATCACATTAAAGATTATTTTATTAAATGCTTACGGCATCTGTTCCTCCAGTAATAAAAGCTCGACCGTCAGCAAAGCATGCACAACTTACGGTTTGTAAATGAAGATTTTCATATAAACCAACCAACTAAAAAAATAAATAAAATAAAATTAAAAATCATTTTCAGAATATATTTAAAACTATAAATCATTTTAAATCATTTTTCGAATATATTATAAAAAAAAAAAAAAACCTTTCTAGTGTCTGAATGATGAAGTCGAAGACTATTGTCAGAATAACCCCATTCCACGTAATATGTATAATTTGGAGGAACCAAAATTTTTTGTGTAGAAACAGCCAACAAACGATCATTCGTTAAATGAATATCATGAACTTGCAATCGAATATCTATAAAATCAATAATTTGGTTATTCAATTAATAAACAAAAGTTTAAATGAACAAAAAAATAAAAATTAAAAATAATAATTGATTTAATAATTAATCTTTACCTAACATAGGTTGCATGGATTGCAATAAACATTCTAAGTTTTCATGGAATTTGAAATTATTGGATTCTGATATTTCGACTGATCTTGGTGGATGAGGTTTAGAAAATAATTGACGTGGTGTTTGACCGAAATTATAAATAATTCCAGTCGTCGCTGAACGTTCAACTGGATCAGTTATAGCATCCAAATCTAGTAAATTTTAATATTTAAATTTTTTAATAAAACGAATTTTAATATATCATAAACGTTGATTACGCGAATAAATCATTTTAATTTTACCTATTGCACCCTCATAAGAGAGATGATGAAAAACATTTACAGCTTCCACTGCTGCAGGTCCTTGTTGTTTATAACCAAAAATTAAATCTATCCATTCATTAAGATGCGCACTAACATAATCTGATTCCAAAGCCTATATTGAAAGAATTTAAGTTTAATATTATAATAAAATTTATAATACGACCGAATGATATATATTATAATTAAGAAATACCTGACGATGTTTATTAATAAAAATTTTTGGATCACCGTTGGCCCATGGTGGTAAAATTACCGAATCAATTACTTCACCAGTTCCTTGCTTTACACCTACATAAAAAAAAAAAAGTCGTTTAATCCGTTTAATCGTTGCATTTTATTGGAATCTAGATCAATAGATTAGAAAAATATATTTATTTAAAAAATCTAAATAATTACCAAAATTAAATTTGTTGGTATTTTCTAGAAATTCCGGCAAATAAAAAAATTCAGGTATCAATTCTTTAACATCACTCATATTATCTCGAGTAGCAGACAACCACGCTTTGTTAATCGAGTGAAATAAACGGTCAGCATGATCAAAATGACCGCCCTTGAAAATAATATAAATATAATCATTTAACAAAATATGAATGAAATAAAAAAAAAACGAATATGAATGAAATGAATGAAATAAAACGAAATAAAAATGAAATAGTAGTAGAACAATTAAAAAAAAAAAAAATAGATTTTTAGTTAAGTCACCTGAAGTTTTAGATATTGTTGAGTAAAAGGCTCTAGACGTATTAAATATGAGCAAACAATCATTGCAGATGAATAATGTGTTCCATAATGAAATGCAGGTGTCGTTGCGTTTGCTGTTGGGTCAAAGGACCTATACCGGATTCGAAATTCATCTAAAAAAAATGAATGAAAATTAAATAAAATTTTGAACACAACTTTTACCCAAAGAAATTAATAAAAATCACGAACTTTTCCGTTCTGGAGTTTGTGCCCCCATTGGTGTTGATAAATCTCGGAAAGTTTCAGGTTTGGTTAAATCCAACTAACAAATAAAGAATAAAATATAATATTTATATATTAAATACTATATACAATAATTAATTAACAGTAATTAATTAAATAGATTGAATTGACTCACTTCCTCGCTTGTGTAATCGGCTAAGATCCAAGGGAAAACGGGATATTGTGTGAGGTCTGAATATATATACGTTGAAATAAGGGTTATAAATAATTTTTATTTCGTAATATTTATGTAATAATTATAATAATTTTAATAACATACCATTATATGATCGACCAGCAAGTGTATTTAAATGCATCAAATATTGAAAATTAGAAATTTCACGTTTTTCCCATCTCATAGTTAATTCTACCAAGGAAGAATTTGCAAAAAAACTCGGTAAATTAAATCTTAATCCAGTTGAAGGACCAATTGTTAGTGGAGCCGGAGCCTTAGAATCAAGAGTATTAGAAGTGCCAATGACAGATTCAGATCCTGAAATTGAAAAAGTTGCTCTTGCTACAAGTTTATTGTAGGCAATATCACGCTCTTTTAGGAAAAAGGTGATCAAATAATTTCGTCCATCGGCAAAGAATATTTCGAGTGCGACATCACTGAATTTCAAATAAAATAAAAAAACAATAAATATTTCAAGATAATAATATAGTTAAATAATCAATAATATTTTTAATACTTCAACCTACCGAAACAAAAATTTTCTTTTATGAACTTCTTTAATATCTTCAAAAGCCCTAAAAAAAGAATTTTAGTAATGAATGTCAAAAATAATAATTATAGATGCCTCAAATATTTTATTATTAAATACCATTTCCTGCTCTTGTGCTTATTTTCTTTGGTGGGTGTAGGTGTATTGCTTGAGTAACCAGCATGTGAAGCAAGCATTTGCAAATATTGATCACGTTCCTTTAATTCATAAAATCACAAATATCAATACTTGAACAAAATTAAAGAAAAATAAATATATGATATAGAATAAGCAAAAAATAATAACCTTCGTTGGTGCATCCCAAATATCAACTATTTCACCATCAGATGTTTGGAAATAACTATCAATTAAATACAAGTTTTGCTTACACAATAAAAGAAGGCCCTCTATAGAACAAATTATCAAATATTTGTGAATGTAATGAAATTTATTTTGAAATTTTTTAAAAAGCAAAAGAAAAAAAAAAAAAAAAAAAAAAAAAAAAAAAAAAAAAAAAAAAAAAAAAAAAAACAAACCACAAAAAAAAAAAAAAAAAAAATGCTTTATATTTTATATACCCATTCAAACCCCCCCACTTTTTAAT